TCTTTCCAAGATAGCCTTCCTTCCACTTCCATGGCCCTTCAGGTACATAGGCCACATCTTCTTTTGCTTCTCTTTAGCCATGGCTGCTTGCTCGCTCTCCAAGGACGGCGCTGTTCTCTGACAGAAGGTGGCAGCTTTCTGATAAATGTGGGGGTCCTTCTTCAACGAGGGGAGAGTCCTGTAGAAATCACGCCCCCACTGGGGGTCAGATTCCACACGCTTGTCGCTGTAGAGTCAGACTCAGAGCTGGATGTGCCACCACGGTCCAGGTCCCAGTCTCTGAAGCCATCTGGAAGCTGCTGCTCCTGGCACCTCTGGCGGGGGCCATACCGAGTGGCCAAGGCCACATTTACCCAAAGGGGCGACGACCCGCATGGTTCTGCCTGGCAGCTCTGCCCTTCAGGTCTCAAAATGTGCCAGAGGATCGGGAACAAGCCGATCACTCACACAGAGTATCTTACAAGAGCTCAGGAGCCCCGTCTCCATCCCCAGCAATTACACCCACCAACCCTATCATCCTAGGTGTGTCACTTGCTGTCTCTGAATCTCGGTAGCCGAACTCGCAGACTGACAGGTTTGCAGTCAATGATACCAGATCTTCCTCATTTCCTCACAAACAGAGAGAGATTCTCCAAGGTCCCCTGTTAAGTTTTGTGTCCTTCTTACATTTAGAAAGGATTCTCTACTTCAAAATGTAGTGGCTGGGTTTAATACTTTCCATAACTAAACGTTGCTGCTTTTGTTCTCAACCGATTCTAAAATGATGCAGTCTTCATCCGTTCTGTGGTGAGCCAACCTTCTCCAGTATTCGGCTTTACTGAAGTACAAACAGCAGCGTGTGCCCACAGCTCTGACGCCCCCTTGCCTCCTGGTCTCTCTTGTCTCACATACATAGCTTGATGAGAGTGACGAGTGAGAGCCGAGCCCTTCATTTATCTCCCTCCAGGCCTCCTCCTCTGTTCTGTGCCCGTCCATGCAGCTGCCCAGTCCCGAAATCCAGGTGCCACCCTGATTCTTCAGACACCAAGCCGTCCAGAAGCTACCTTCCAATCAGACCATCCATGACCGTCCTTCCCTGACAAGGGCACCATCTCTAGCTTAGTTACTGCAGGAGCCTGGAAGCTAGTTTCCCCGCACATGTACACACACACACACACACACACAGGCCCCAGTCCACCCTCCACAACATTCTTTCTCAGAGAGAGCCCAGAACTCTTCATTGGTTCCCTAGTACTTTGGGATAATCAAGTCCAGACGACTTAACATGCCTTAGCATTAGGCTACTTATAGTAACCCATGGGGATACTCTTGAGACCAAAAAGGGTATTATTAATATTAGCACCAGGCACAACAGGTGTCCCAGGGAAGACAGGATGTCTGCTCACCTTGCTGGTGAGGCCCTTTACTGCCTGGCCCCGCTTCCTGATGCACTGCACACTGAGGCTCCTCTTCCAGGAAGCCCCCTGTGATTCCCCCCACCTGCTGGCATTCTCTCTCACCACCCCGTCTCCACTCCAAATGCCTTGTAGCCCCCTCCACCTCCTGCACCCAGCTTCCCAGGGATCAAGGCCTTCTTCTGTGCCTCCTTTCCTAGATGATGTCAGCATCTGCTCACATGTCTCCAGAACTTACAGAGCGCGACTCTTATAACCTTGGAGCAGGCATGTTCAAAGCCAGCTTCCACGTTCCTCCCCTTGCCACAGGGTCTCTCTCCCTCCTGCCCCGACAGTGTCAACTCTCCTCTCCAGCCAGCCAGAGACTCCCGTGGCAGGTGGCACATGAGCTCAGTGTTCCTATAACCGGACTGGAGATGTTGGACAGTGGGCCAGTGCAGAGAAGAGGGCTTTGAAAATTCATAAAGAGTGGATCACTTTTGTAACAGTTTAATTTTTAGTTTGGTTATTATGATTTATTACAGATGTTTCCACACTCATCCATTCATTCAGCATTTAGTCATATCAGGCTGTGGGCTAGGCACTCCATTTAGGCACTAAGGGCACTGCAGTGAACAAAGAGAAACTCCCGCCCCAGGGGGAGCCCACACTCCCATGGAGATGGCAAACAGTAAGTAAATAGTAAAATATAGGTGTCAGGTAAGCATCCCCACTCTGAAAGAAAATGAAGCAGGATAAGGGGATAGGATGCAGGCTGCTGACTCCGGTAGAGTGACATGTGCAGCCCCACAGAGCTGACATCAGAGCAGACTGGAGCCAAATGAGTAACTGGAGGGGGAGCCTTCCAGGCCCCAGGAGCGGCAAAGTGCAAAGGCCCTGAAATGGGAAAGTGCTTCTCAAGTGTGGGGAGCAGGAGGAGGCCAGAGAGAGGTGGGCAGCTGGAGGCAGGTCACATGGCACGGTCAGGACTTGGTGTCTTACCCTGAGCACAAAGGAGTGCCACCTGAGGGGGAAGAAAAGAAACATGGTGTGACCTACTTAAAAAAAGGTTGTCTGAGCCTCTGGGCTGCTGAGGAGAGAACATGCAGTGGGGGCTGGGGAATAGTAGGGAGGCAGGTTGGAGGCTGTTAAAAGACCCCCATGAGAGGACTTCAATCTCAGTGACGCCCTGGACAGCAGCAGCTCCATGCGGACCATCCAGAAAACCACTACCTGCAGGACTGTGGACGGCAAGGTCGTGTCTGAGACCAATGTCATCAAAGTTCTGAGGCGTTGAGGGAGCAGAAGCAGGGTGCCCTTTGGGGAGCAGGAGGCCAATTAAAAGTTCCAAGGTCACAAAAAAAAAAAAAAAAAAAAGACCCCCATGAGAAGCAACAGAGGCTTCACCCAGGATAGGAAGGAAGTGTGTTGGGAAATGTGATGAGTTTCAGGATTTAGGATTTATTTTCAAGGTAGAGCTGATAACATTTGCTGGTAGATTCATTGTGTGCTGTGAGAAAGAGGAAATTCAAGAATAACTCTGGAATGGGGGGTTGAAGGGGTGTGCCTGGGTGGCTCGGTTGGTGGAGCATGTGGCTCTCTATCTTGGGGTTGTGAGTTGGAGCCCCACATTGGGCATGGAGTTTACTTTAAATAAATAAATAAACTCTTAAAAAAAAAAAAAACAGGGTGTTGGCTGGGTTTGGCTCATTGGGGTGAATGAAGTAGTTGTTGACGTGAAACCCCAGTAGATTGGAAACTATTGACCAGGGTGGCACTCTCCCAGTCCAGTTCCCTGCGGTGTGTGGGTGGAAATGTGGGTGGCAGGCAGGCGGAGAGCTGGAGCCCCTGAACACGTGGCGAGGGCCTGCCGGAGACCAGTGCCAGGGGCCCATCTTAGGACCCTGACCCTCCGACCCGACCCAGGAGAGCCTCTGGAAATCCCAATTGATTGGCCCACTCTGAGCAGTTTAACCTGCTTTCGTACCTTTCAAATATATATCTATTTACCTATGGCCACCCGGATTTTTCAGTAAGGATAGAAGTATAAATGGGAGGAGAATCATTCACTTATTTCATCATTCTTCCCCTGAATGTGTGTGTGTGTCTTTGATCACGGCCCTGAGAACTGAGCAACAGGGTAGATGAGGCGTTTCATCTGAAAGGAGATTTTTCATTGGACAAGTGTACATTCTGCGAAGGATCATAAATTATTATCCGGGGCAACTTAATTTGTTCATGAATTCCCGAACTGTGCCGGCCCTTTTCTGTAAGACCTGTGTTTCTTTTGTACCAAATATTAGGAGAAAATAAGTCCCTCATAAGCCATTAAATGCTGAACCAAAACTCATTCAGTGACTCGTGAACACAGGCATTTTTATCCCTCTTTAAGCAGCTCTTTTTATAGAAGATGAATTTACAAGAGGGCTTGCAAAATCCGGCATGTTTCCTGTTTCCAAAAAATCCTGTATTGAGAATTAGTTTGAGGAAATTCTTGCAGGCACTTACATGTTCAGAGGGCGTTCATCCCTTCACTTAACAAGTAACTGTTGTGTGCTCGCTGGGCCAGGCACCGCCCTAGCCCCTGAGGAGAGAGCAGCAGACCAGATGCCCGCCCCCTACTGGCATTCATTCCCACAGATGAAGGAAGACAGGAGCCAGCAATTTTCTTTCTTTCTTTTTTTTTTTTTTTTAAGATTTTCTAATTATTTGACAGAGAGAGAGATCACAAGCACAAGCAGGCAGAAAGGCAGGCAGAGAGAGAGGGGGAAGCAGGCTCCCTGCTGAGCAGAGAGCCGGATGCAGGGCTTGATCCCAGGACCCTGAGATCATGACCCCAGCTGAAGGCAGAGGCTTAACCCAGTGAGCCACCCAGGCGCCCCAGCAATTTTCAAAGTCAATTCCTGCAGAGCTCAACTGGGGGACTTCCTAACTCCCAGACTTACATAGGCCCCCCACCCCGACCAAGTTCTCAGAAGTTTCCAGGAAAAAAAAAGAAGGTTCCAGAAGGGGCTACACCAGGATCCTCATAGCAGTCCACCCAGCAGCAACCAGCAAATTGTCTCCACTCCCAGCCCCCACACGTGGCTGCTCAGATACAAGAGAATGAGACCCATATTGATGGATAAAGTGTTCCCCTGGATGTAGAGTCCCCAGGCCCCACAGGAGCAAGTGCCCCTTGTGACAGCCCCTTGGGCACTTCCAGCTTCCAGGGTCCCTACAAGGACATACCTGGTTACAGTAACCACTACCCCAAAGATGCGCAAAGCTCTGGCAAACCCACCAGATGTTTTCAGTTTCACCCAGCCCAGATGCAGTTCATCAATCAAGTTATTTTTACCATAAGCAACATTGCTGACATTCCATCTCTTATCAGGTTTCTAGGAAGTAGAGCCAGAAATGATCTTAAGGTCACCTTTGTCCCTAGAGGAGAAAGAGTTGGGTTAACGCTTTCTTTGAAATTACTTTTGTCGTATGTGCCGCAAAGGAGAAGTAGGAGCGGGGAGCCTTGGTGACCAACGTGCCGATGCCCTTGCTGGGCGTTCATTCTTTATGCCTCAGACATAGGATGCTGACGGCCTCCTCGTTTTTTTTGTTTCGTTTTGTTTTGTTTTGTTTTGTTTGCAGATAAGCCGTCATGGTGAAAAGCCACATAGGCAGCTGGCTCCTGGTTCTCTTTGTGGCCACATGGAGTGACATTGGCTTCTGCAAGAAACGGCCGAAGCCTGGAGGAGGCTGGAACACCGGGGGGAGCCGATACCCAGGGCAGGGCAGTCCTGGAGGCAACCGCTACCCACCCCAGGGTGGTGGCGGCTGGGGTCAGCCCCACGGGGGCGGCTGGGGCCAGCCCCACGGGGGTGGTTGGGGTCAGCCCCATGGGGGCGGCTGGGGACAGCCGCATGGTGGCGGTGGCTGGGGTCAAGGTGGTGGCAGCCACGGTCAGTGGGGCAAGCCCAGTAAGCCCAAAACCAACATGAAGCATGTGGCGGGAGCCGCAGCAGCTGGGGCGGTCGTGGGGGGCCTGGGCGGCTACATGCTGGGGAGCGCCATGAGCAGGCCCCTCATTCATTTTGGCAACGACTATGAGGACCGCTACTACCGTGAGAACATGTACCGCTACCCCAACCAAGTGTACTACAAACCGGTGGATCAGTACAGCAACCAGAACAACTTCGTGCACGACTGCGTCAACATCACAGTCAAGCAGCACACGGTGACCACCACCACCAAGGGCGAGAACTTCACGGAGACCGACATGAAGATCATGGAGCGCGTGGTGGAGCAGATGTGTGTCACCCAGTACCAGCGAGAGTCCGAGGCTTACTACCAGAGGGGGGCGAGCGCCATCCTCTTCTCGCCCCCTCCCGTGATCCTCCTCATCTCGCTGCTCGTTCTCCTGATAGTGGGATGAGGACGGCCTTCCCGTTCTCTCCATCGTCTTCATCTTTTACAGGTTGGGGGAGGGGGTGTCTACCTACAGCCCTGTAGTGGTGGTGTCTCATTCCTGCTTCTCTTTATCACCCATAGGCTAATCCCCTTGGCCCTGATGGCCCTGGGAAATGTGGAGCAGACCCAGGATGCTATTTATTCGAGCCCCCATGTGTTGGAGTCCTTCAGGGGCCAATGCTAGTGCAGGGTTGGGAATAACAGCAAATCATCATTGGTTGACCTGGGGCTGCTTTTTTTTTTTTTTTTTTTTTTTTTTTTTTGTCTAGTGCAGCTGACCGAGGCTAAAACAATTCTCAAAACAGTCTTCAAATACCTTTGCCTGGAAACCTCTGGTTCCTACCCCAACTAGAGCTCAGTACACTAATGTCCCATCTTAGCCATGTCTTCATAGCAACTTGGGGAAGTTTTTCTCACCCACTCTAAAAGAACGCGATTGCACTTCCCTGTGCAAAGAGCATTTCTGCCGAAGTTGAAAGGAGGGCACATGATACTCATTCAAAAAGCAAAACTAGAAACCCTTTGCTCTGGGACGCAAGCCCGGCCTGCCAGGGAGCACCGAACTGGGGTGATGGTTTGCATTCTGCGGCGTGGGCTATGCGGCAGCCGTGGTGTCTGGCGTAAATATTGATGCGACGCTAGACCTTGGCAGAGGATGTTTGCACAGGGAATGAACATAACCAACAGTGCGAAAATGCTACAAAAATTCCCACACTTGGAAGCAGTGTCCTTGGAGGCAAGTTTCCTTCCTTTTGGGACATTTAAAGCCCCTACATGTGGCATTCCTTTCTTTCATAACCTAAACTATAGATAATTAAGGCAGTTAAAAATTGAACTTCCTTCCAGGCCCCAAGAGCAAATCTTTGTTCACTTACCTGGAAACCAGAATGATTTTGACACAGAGAAAGGTGCAGCAGTTAAAATAACCTTCATCCTAGAAGATTGCATCATGGAGAAAACGATCAGTAGACAAAGAAAAATGATCGCATTTCTTCATTGCTGTCTCGTAATTGTCAGAAACCAGAATTATGTCAAGTCCTAGTTTCTATAATCAGCTTTTGAATCAAAGAATGGAAGGCCATCCAAAAAAAAAAAAAAAAAAACCTTAGGTCACCCATGACAGAAATACCCATTCAGGTTGGAAAAAAGGAATTCTGTTAACTGTTATTTAAGTAAGGCGAAATTATTGTCTGGATTGTTCGGTATCATCAGCTAGCAGATAAATTAGCGTTCTGCAATGTTCCCGGCTTGCACTGTGCGGGTATTTGATGTTAAAAAATTTATTATATATATTGTGTATGACAGAAGTTTTCGCTAGAGGAGTTAACATCTGATATATCTAATGCACCACCAGTTTTGGAAGATACTAAATACTTAATATGTAGAAACCCTTTTGCGTGGTCCTCAGGCTTACACGTGCACTGAATAGTTTTGTATGATAGAGCCCATGTGGTCTTCGAAATATGCATGTACTTTATATTTTCTATATTTGTAACTGGGCATGTACTTGTATAAAAAATGTATAAACATTCGAAATCTTGACTAGAATTAAACAGGAACTGAGTGTGTCCCATGGTTTTGCAGTGACATTCACCGCCGCACCCTGTGTTGGCAAGGCCATGGGGGGGGGGTGACAGGAGCAAGGCGCCACTCGCAGTCCCCAAGCTCCTGCAGTGGCCCGCAACCCATGCACCCGGTCCCCGTCCTGCCTTTAGCAGTCACACACCAGCTCCCAGTCACACACCAGCTGCTCCCAGCTGCCTTTTCATTTTTTCCACAAATATCTTACGTGTGCTGGGTTCTGGGTAAATGGCAGAGACACTTAATTGTGGCAGAGGAAGACAGTCTTTCCGCCCTAGAAGCTCTTTTTCTGCCCTAGATTTTGAAATAGAGGATTTTCTTTTCTTTTCTTTTTTTAAGATTTTATTTATTTATTTGACAGAGTGAGACAGCGAGAGAGGGAACACAAGCAGGGGGAGTGGGAGAGGGAGAAGCAGGTTTCCCGCCAATCAGAGAGCCCAATGCAGGGCTCTATCCCAGGACCCTGGGATCATGACCTGAGCTGAAAGCAGACACTTAAGGACTAAGTCACTCAGGCACCCCTGAAATAGAGGGTTTTCTTAACTAAATGCAACTTAACAAGCTTTCAAGTACCAACTCCATTGCCCCCTGCCCCACCCCAATATCAGACTATAAACTCTCCCAGACCCTGGGAGCCCCAGGGACAGTCACTCCATTTGGACTGAAATTCAACACCTTAGGTCTAAAAGACCCCTCATTTGTCAGAGTCCTTCAACTCCTGCTTCACCTGTTTCCTGCTTCTTTGAGAGTGTCAGGCACCAGCCCTAGGGGCGCTCGTGATTTTCCTTGGCGGGTTTTCTTCTGCAGCTGAAATTTACCAACAGCAGGAAGTAGTCACAGAAGAGACAGTGGTTGAAATCATACTTATTTGTTAATACCTCAGGAAATGCCAATATTCTGCAGCGATCAGAGCATCAACTCTGTACTTACAATGGGAAGACAGAGGTCAACCTGTTGAAACCCCATCATTGACCAAACTGCTAGAATAAACAGCCACCAAGTGTCCGAAGTATTCCTCATCCATAGTGAACCTCAGACTTCATCCTTAACATAAAAATTTCCAGAACGATTTTCATTTAGGGCCATTTATCTAATTATTTAAAAATAAGCTTCATTATCTGACCATCATAATTTCTCAAGAGTAGCCCACTGAGAAGACTTCAGATGTTCAAAGTGTAAGTACTCAGAGGCCAAAGTGAGTGATACCACCAAGCCCCACTGTTTCTTCCTGTTACTTCCAACTCGTGTGAATTGTGCTGGAAGAATTTTCTCTTTTGAAAAAGAAAGGACCCTCTCCTGCTTGCATGCATGCTTTCTCTCTAAAATAAATCTTTTTAAAAAATAAACCCCTTTTATTGATGGTTGATATGAAGAATATTATTTTCTTGGATCTTGGGCAAAACAGCAATTGATAGTCTTTATCATCTTACATAATGTTACTCATATTGCAATAAACCCAATCATTTTCTCAAGATTTTACCACTTGGGAAGAGTACCAAAGATCCTGCCTTGCCTGTCTAGAAGCTCAGAAATGTGCTGTCACCAAGGGTAGAAGGCAATATGACATCCTAGTTTTAGCACACAGGTTCTAAGAGAGACTATCTGAAATCAAATCCCAGTTCTGCCACTTATTAGTACTGTGACCTCGGGCACATTATTAATCTCTCTGTGCTATAGCTCTCTCATCAGTAAATGGCAATAACAAAAATATCCACGTAATAATGCTGTGATAAGTATACGAGTCAATATGTTACTAAAACTCTTAGTAATCAAAACAGTATCTATGGGCACAAAAAAAGACATGCAGATCAAGAGAATAGAATAGAGGGGCGCCTGGGTGGCTCAGTGGGTTAAACGCTCTGCCTTCATCTCAGGTCATGATCTCAGGGTCCTGGGATCGAGCCCCGAATCGGGCTCTCTGCTCAGCAGGGAGCCTGCTTCTTCTGCCTTTCTCTGCTTGCCTCTACTTGTGATCTCTGTCAAATAAATAAATAAAATCTTTAAAAAAGAGAGAGAGAGAAAGAGCGAATAAAATAGAGACCCAGAAATAAACCACACTTATATGGTCAATTAGTCTACAATAAAGGAGGCAAGAAAATACAATGACGAAAAGATAGTCTATTGATTAAATGGTGCTGGGAAAACTGGACAGCTTCATGCACAAGAATGAAACTGGACTACTACCTTACACTACACACAAAACTAAACTCAAAGTGGATTAAAGACCTAAATGTGAGACCTGAAACCATAAACTCCTTGAAGAAAACACAGGCAATAATTTCTTTGATACCGGCCATAGAAACATTTTTCTGGATGTGTTTCCTCAGGCAAGAGAAGCAAAAGCAAAAATATTTGGGGAGGGACCACACCAAAATAAAAAGCTTTCACATAACAAAGGAAACCGTCAAAACAAAACAAGGCAGCCTACTAAATGGGAGAAGACATTTGCAAATGTTATATCCAATAAAGGATTAATATCCAAAATATATAGAGAACTCATACACGTGAATACCAAAAAACCCCAAATAATCTGATTAAAAATGGGCCAAGGACCTGAATAGATATTTTTCCAAAGAAGACATACAAATGTCTAGCAGGCACATGAAAAATGCTCGACATCACTCACCATCAGGGAAATGCAAATCAAAACCACAACGAGTTAGCACCTTAACACTTGTCAGAATGGGTAGAATCAAAAAGACAACAAATAAGTGTTGGAGAGGATGTGGAGAAAATGGAATGCTGGTACACCATTGGTGGGAATGCATTTTGGGGCAGCCACTGTGGAAAACAGTACAAAGATTTCTCAAAAAATTAAAAATAGAATTACCCTATGATCCAGTAATCCCATGACTGGGTATTTACCAAAAGAAAACAAAAACACTAATTTGAAAAAATATATATATACCCCTACGTTTACTGAAGCATTATTTACAACAGCCAAGATACAGAACCTAAGTGTCCATAAATAGGTAGATGGATAAAGAAGATGTGGCATATGTAATATACAATGGAATGTTACTCAGCCATGAAAAAGAATGAATCTTACCATTTGCAACAACATGGATGGACCTAGAAGGTATAATGCTAAGTGAAATAAGTCAGACCAAGAAAGACAAATACCATATGATTTCACTCACATATGGAATTTAAGGAACAAAGCAAACAAAAAAGAGACAAACAAAAAACAAACTCTTAAATACAGAGAACAAACTGATGGTTGCCAGAGGGCAGGCGGGTGGGGGGATGGGTGAAATAGGTAAAGGGGATTGAGTGTACACTTATCACAATGAGCACTGAGCAATGTAAGAATTGCTGAATTATTATATTGTACACCTGAAACTAATGTTAACACTGTATGTTAATTATATGTAAATAAAAAAGAAAATTCTTAAAAAATTAAAAAATAAAAATAAATAAAGCAAGAAAGGAAAAGGGGTGCCTGGATTAAGCATCTGCCTCCAGCTCAGGTCATGATTCCAGGGTCCTGGGGTGAGTCCCAAGTCAGGTTCCCTGCTCCACAGGGTGTCTGTTTCTCCCTCTCCTTCTGACCCTCCTCCTGGCTTTTGTTCTCGCTCTAAAATAATCTTTAAAAAAAAAAAAAGAAAGGAAAAATCAATTTTAAAATGATTGATGTAAAGTAACTGAGTTGAACTCCAGG